GAGCTCGAATAGCTTATGCTTTACAATGTTTCGTCACCTTTTGCGCCTTTGCGGCACTTTTTCTTATTAGAGTATATTGTAACAATTTTACACAAAGCATGTGACCCGAAGTTACAAATTTTTCTTTCCTTCCCTCCCCCGCCCATGTCTTCCGAGCGAAGTTTCAGGATCTCCTCGTAGGAACATCTGCTATAAAAGTTCGGAACGCCAAGATCCTCATCCGAAATCAAATCAGATAGCGTCTGGCCCCGTCGCTCACATCATTAGAATTCATGACGGGTGGTGTTTGGCACCATTCCATGTCTAGCTCAACTCTAAGTTCACTTTAGTCAGAAGTTGCGGTCTGTTCCGGCAGATAAACTTTTCTTTCGTATTTTCCGAACCACTGAGCTCTTTTATAGAGATTTCAGGGTTTCAAGTATTTAAGTCATACATCTGATGCTTTATCTGAGCCAATCCTACCATCTGGGTTACGGTAACGCCACGATAGGAGTACTGTATGAAGCGATAGTATTTTTTGCTGATTAGCTTGAATGTACAAGTAAATGTGCAGGGCTGACGTGTCTAGACCAGATGCTTCCTGTCAGTACTCAAAGTCAAGCAGTATTTTATGCTACGGTAACGCTACGGTAGGTATACTGTACAAAAAGCCTGTCTTGCTATAGTTAGAAAAACAGAATAAGTTTTTAAATTTCTTTCTCCCGCGTTGTATTTTAGTTCCTCAAACACTTCTGTAATTTCGCTCAACTCTTTCCGCACCAGAATCTGCTAACTTTGGTTTCTTTACATTAGTGTGAAAAACTGTGCCTTTTACTAGTTTTCACGATCTGAACGTTTGTGAAAGCTGTGTGCTTTGTCACTATGTACACGAAATCACGAAGAAATTTCTTTGTTGTGTGTGGGATCGATTACAGTAATGTCAGTGCTTGTAACTAGTTTTACTTTGCAGTTTGCTTTTTTGAGACATTCCGAGTTGGAAAATTTCATTGCCAATTTGTTCACGTCAGCTTCTTGTTAGAATTTTGTCTCAATTCCGTTTTTTTATGAGAAAATGCGCTTCATGGAAGAAGAAACGTTATGGTTGCTGTCTTTATGGTTGCTGTCGTTATGGTTGCTGTCTTTTTCGCTCCCGATAACTGCCACTTTTCCAGCTTTTATCACAAATTTGGCGCAGTTGTCCTTGATTTGACAAATACAAACACTTTGTGCCTCGTTATCTTTACGCATGGGAATTTGTGACTTCTTATTCAGGTTTGCATATTGCCTGCGACAATCAGTGACTCCATTGACTCCAATTTAAATGTTACTGAGAGCATCGTACAGACAAAACCCTTGAAATAACATTTATTTACACTGCTCTTTCCTGCATATATTTTGAGGCAGAAGAAAAAGTCTCCCAGTACCTGGCAGTTTGCAAGAACACAGAGTTCGGTTTGCAAAGTAACAGCTCAAATTACGAATGACTGGAAATATTTGCCGCGCAGTATGCTCTTTGTGTAATACGACATAAGTTTGAAACATGCTATAATTTATTTCCCAGTGGCGTACTTAGATATTTGTTTAGGGGGGGGGGGACAAAAAATTTTTCAGTTGGTAGTCTGAGGCGTTAGTCAGTCACTCCGAAAAATTTAAGATGCTTTCCAAAAGGGGGGGTCCATGACCCTAAAACTTTAGAATAAAAATTGTTTACAAGGCCAGCTTACATAATTTTTTGAAAAATTTCAAAAAATACTTACATTATTTACAAATATAAGTAAATTACTTGCACATTTTCGTAACTCATAGAAGTACCCTAATTTCAAGCGTATATGGCGCACTTTTTCAAATTTTCAAGCGAGCCGCTCAGCCGCTTCACTGTATTCCGGAAAGAAATACATACATCGCACGATTCTCTCAAGCAATATGCAGCACGTTATACGGTCCCTTGGTTGTAAATTTGACATGTCTGGGCTGGTCGATTTTGAAAAAAAATCCCCCGCCTTATACGCGTGAAATCAGGGTAACTTAGATTTTCGCTACTCATTTTCGGCCTCCCTCTCGATATGCCATTGGTATTTCCTCTATTTTTAGGGTGATCAAATTTTCTATGAACCGACCATGGTAAACTTGAGAGCAGTTTTCAAAGAAGAAAGGTCAATAGGATTAGCCATATCGAATTTGGGGCAGCGTTATCAACAATTAAATTGTTCGCTTAGTTTCATTTGTGGGAGTAGTCCCAGAAATTTTAAATGTAATGCAGTTAGCTGTTCGCAAGTTCCGCATTTCCCTCTTCGAAAATATTCTGAAAATAGTGAGCGTGAGATCGGTAGACGCTAAAGCAGCTTAAAGGCTTTTCGCAAAGGATTTCAGAGATAAGACACTGAACTTTTTGTAACTATCATACGACCTTACTTCATTTTTTAGTTTTTTATGTTCTCAAACTATGATTCATTTACAGTCGGTTTTACAATAGCTTAATTTGCGATTTACTACACAATTCGAAAAGCCTTCTCAGTGTCATTATCAAACGCCATGCATTTTACGCAGTCCTCAGCCATATCCAGCTGTTGTGCTGAAAATTCTGAAGCAAATGCTGGCAAACTCCCAGCAATTTTATATATTTTTACTCTCTTTTTCTTGCTATTTTGAAAATGAGTCTGCTGTTTAAGCGCACGAAGTTACAGTTGAAATAAATTTGATTATGCATCTAATTATCCGGGACTCTGCAGAGCTGGCATCGGGTCAAACTGGATATCGTTTTGGGGCAAAAAGTCAAAGGAATGTCGTTTTTATGGCCGACTTGCGATGTTTTTTTTTGGTGATGTTTCGTTTTCGAGGGTTTTTTACGTTTAGGATTTAGAGTCAAAAGGGACTTCGTTTTGAAAATTTCCCTGGTGTCAGCTCGTTCCGAGCCCTGCTATCATTTTACATGTCATAATTGCCCCTAAAACACATTGACAAGGGCTAAAATCACCAGCAATTTTTCGAAACTTTATATTCGAGAAGTTGGAAAGGTAGAAAGATCTACTTATGATTCTTCGGAGCTAAAAAAAATACGTACGAAGGCTTGTCGACGCAAAAAAATATTTAAAGAAAAAACCTAACCGAGAATTTTTTAGAGTGAACCTGTAAGTATTCAAAAGCGTTTCACGGTTAGTAACGCAACCAATAAGGAAATAATTATGTGGCCTCAAACTACGTTTAATGCGATCTAGCGATCTGTGACCAATTCAGCGTTTGCGGTTTCTTAGTTATGCGTAGGTCTATTTGCAGTAGTTTTCGCACCATTCACTTTACAGCATGTATGTGTATGTACAATTCGTATGGGTACAAATACTGTTCAGTGTAAAGCTAGCATGTATTGTCTGAACTTTTTTCTGTACCATGGCGCTAGAATGTGTAGGTTCCACCCAAACAACCGGTACAGAGGAGGTTTATGAAGGTGCATGCCTTGTACATGTTGTCTGCGAAAGTGGAGTCTGTTTTCGGTGAATGATAATCATTCTTCAAATTGAGCATCTTGAGCCACAAGTAGGCCGCGGTACTGAATTTCTTCTTCTTGTAATTTTTTCACAACTTTTTCGTTTGAGACTATTGGGTTACTAGATAGATCTATACATGACTTCTATTTTTACTTCTGTACTTATTGAGAGAGCTGTTACATGAAATGACTCTCTTATCAGAAGTGAAAGCTTAAAGTATTGCAAAAAATGTTCGTCATATTCTTTGATCATCATATAAGGAAGGATTCTCCTAAAAAAATTTTTTATACATAAAATCAAAAATTTTGAGTAATCATACTATCTTACTTAAGCATTCAATCAAAATTGCCTTTAAACTTTTGATTATTGTTGTAACATGCCAGAATTTTGGAAATACGATGACTTCGGTATCAAATTCCGAGCATCGGTGGTTCAGTGGTAGAATGCTCGCCTGCCACGCGGGCGGCCCGGGTTCGATTCCCGGCCGATGCAATCTTTTCGCCTCCTTTACTAAAAGTTTATGAGGAATATCTTTGTTGATCCAACCACCTTATCAACCGATTTCGTTTCCCATCAACGTGCTTTTCTGGCGGAGACTTATATGACATGATCACGAACTTTTTAAGGTTTCGAATTTACAAATCAGCAACGCTAAATTAAGTTTTGCTAAAACTCTGCAAGGTGCTGTCTTACTGCGTCACAAAATTAATGTGAACTATGTGTAGTTTATTTAGCAAGCCTTTTTCGTAAAGTTAGTATAGATATACGGTACGAAGCAAATTTTAAAAACTTGCTGTTGTTCAGCCTACAAGATGCTGGTCTCAGAAATCCCAGATCTATCATTTGGAGGGGGAGATGGAAAATCAGCAAACTGCCTACAGATTTACATGTTGTGGTCTTTTTTTGTAAGATTGGAGGTATACTGTAATAGGTCAAAATCACATAATTTGAATAATGTAGCTAATTAGACTCATAATCTTCAAAACATTACTTTCCCTTCAGTTAGACATGTTTACTAAAGAACTGAAGAAACTGCGCAAAAATTTATAAGTTATAGCACGATACCAAAGATCAGAAATTTCCAGAGATTTATCACAAGATTTTTCTTCTGTTGCACTTTATCTGGCATTTCAGTGTGTGTGCTTGTGTAAGTGCTGCTGTCCAAGACACTTCGCTCTACCATCACAACACATTTCCGTTATCACTGCCCCTATGAATGTTGTCTCTTATGCAAATGTCGTGTGCGTCGTTCGTTCGGGAGTGTCGAATGTGCACACTGGGAGGGGGGGGGGATTGAAGGGTGCAGCCACCGCGGCGGTGGTGGCGGTGGTTTGCAGCGGGGGCGGGGTCCCCCGTCGTGGAGTCGCCAACCACCCCCCTCCGTAGCGTTTGCGCCCCCTTCAGCTCATCGCCAACACTTGCGCGACAGTCGGCTGTGCTCTGCGTTTGACTACGTGTTCTTTATTTGTCATTTGAGCGTGTTATTTATCGAATATTGATTGGTTGGACTTATTATTGATCGTTATCGATTGATGCTCTAGATCAAATAGTCCAGGAATGGACTCGGAGAGTTCGTTTCGACGAAGTTTACGTCGAATAAATCCATTTCGGAACAAATTGTTTCGTCTACCAGCTACACCACGTCTGGCCAGAAGTCGGAAAGGTAAGCAACATTACCTCTACTTTGAAGAAAATTCTACTTTTATTTTACCTCGCGCTAATATAATCTTTTTCGGTCTTACTACTTCTATTTATAGCCCCATTCTTTCTAAATTTAACCATTTTCACTGACCAACGGGGCCACCAACTTTTTCATAAAATTACATATTTATCCAAAAAAATCTATACATTTTACCTAACATTCATCCTCCTCCCATTAAAATCATTGTTCCATTCGTTCCACTCTTCCTATCTTTCTTTATCCCCCCCCCTCCCACCCCTCCCTCCACTTCAACTGATTGCCTGGGTCCCAAAAATACATTTCATTCCATCTATTTGTGCAACTAATCAGCTTGTCTCAATGAATCTACCCAAATGTCCTCTGCATTAGCGGTTTTGCTATGGTTTTTCTTATTTCTTGTGATGAGAAAGTTGAGAGAAAGTGATTTGCAGCGGTCACGGTCGGCTCCCATCTTTTTTGATGAATTACTATGCTCTAAAGTTCATAAAGACTTGGGCTTAGAATCTTTGTAATCTGACCCCGAAAGCTAGTTTGAAATAACATTGCAGGTTGTTAATAAAAATTTCACTCACAAATAAGAATGCAGAAAAAGTTGATGTATGCGAATATGAAGTTGGTATATATGGGTTTTTATATTTTTCGATAACATTTCAACTACCGCAAAGTGGTAGTAGTGTTTTTTGGATTCTTCAGGATTCAATCAAATTTTGTGAAATCGGTAGTTTCTTGCTATTTTTTGTTTATTTTGTTGACAGCGTAAAGTTATTATTACTTTTTTATTACTTTTATCACAATGTTACCAAGTACTGTTTGATATACTGTTGACTTTGGAGGTGATTGTCTTTTATTTTTTGCCCCTAATGAGTGCAGAATTTAAGCAGTTTGATCATGCAGGATTATGGAAAAGAATTATTTTTTGCTGGTTCGGGGAGGGAAGGGAGGAAAATACCTTTGCACTTCCATTTTTTCTTAGCCTCTCTAAATGCCGTGAACATAAAAACTCTGTATCCATCAACGTAAAACATCCCGAACATCCTGTCGTTTCTTCAAACAATTTTTTTTTCGCCTCTGCGGAATGAGTCATTCCGAGATCCTCTGATAATGTTCGGTGCAAAACGAACCCGTAGTGATCGGCTTGCAGATTATCCAAAAAAAAATTCCTCAAAGTAATTTTCTATTGTTGATTCTTGCTAGGTCTTGATGAAGGCATGTTTGTTTTCTTGTCTTTTTGTGTATCATAGGTTTGTATTAGGCTGTCTCATATGTCTTTCCATATTTGACTTTTCACCGGCATAAGTCAGTACTTCTTAAATTTATTCCTATTAGGGTTTAGGATACGTAAGTCAGAGCAAGCTCTAAAAGATGGCTTTTTGCACCAGGCTTGATCCGCATAAAGTTTCAAGCGGAATAAGAAGTTCCGAATTTGCGAAAAAACGAAAAAACCGTATCTCAGTTCATACGAAATCTGAAAATTTCTTACTCGCTCACGCATATGCTCTACCCTTTGGATAATTCATACACTATACTCTTGCTATGTTTTTTGATGGCCAAAAATAAAGAAAAATTATGGACATAGATTAGCAAATCACTGAGATTAATCAATTCAAAAGTCTGAATATGAGATTTATGGGACAATCTTATAGATGCAATCATCTGAAGCAAATTTCCGCGTTATTAGGTTGACGCATAATTCTCGCACCAAAATTTTTGAAATTCTGTTACTTCATCCAGCTTCAGTGATTACTTCCGGTTTGAAACACAATAGAGAGAGAAAATCTTTCTAAGCGTGTTTGAGTCAAAATTCCTCGAGGGCATATGGTAACGAAATAGATTTAGAGAAAAACCCGAAAAGTGAATTTTCGATTTTTGGTCATCAAAGTTGCTAAAACGTCTATTAGAATTTGAGTTTCTTTTTAATCCTAGTTCTATGACATACTCTCTCTAACAAAGAGAAGCTGGTATTGATTGGATGTCTCTGCGAGTAATTAAGAATTTTGTTTTTCCAAAATTAACTTATTGATTCTGTTTCATATTGATTTTCTAGAATGTACTATAATATACTACTTCTGATATACAACAATGAGCATATTTGTGAATTGAGTCTGTTTAAGCATTTTCAAAACTTCTTCTTTATTTTTTGGTGCAAATTGTGCACTAAGCTAATATTTACGGCGTCTTCTAAAAATTCGAGAAATCGTTGCTTAAATTCAAAAGTGATTTTTCTGCTTTATTCAAGTTCGCTTATGCAATATGGAGCTATACACCATTCATTTCTATAGTTTTTGACTTTATGACATGAATGAGAAGAGGCTCCGAAACATCGCGTGCATATGTCCCTTTGAATAGTAAGGCGTTGAGAATCTCTGAAATGTAACATTTGATGTCAAAAATACGCTTAAAATATTCGCGTACAGTAGTCGTGTCATATGAGGTTAAAATATTAATATTGTAACGTATGAAGTAATGCTAGATATGAAAAAGATACACGAATTCTGACTTGTGTTTCATGCCAGCTGTAGTCTCATTGTTACAATTACAATCTTTAGAGTCTTTAGCAACAGGCTATCTAGTCACAAAAATAGGGAATTTTGAAAGACTAGTTATTGAAATTCTGTCTGGCTCAAATATCCGAATAGAAAAAAGGTTAGCGAAATGCAGCTAGTGAAAGTTTTTGTAAAGTAATAGGATTACATTTCAAGCGGTTCAAAGGGGTTTTTCGTTTTTGCTTCAGCTAATATTTGAATCCTGTTTAGAGAGTTCCAGATATAATTCCAAAGAAACCTAGGAGTTTTCTTCTATTAGACCAGTTCAGTTGTTTTTATGCAAATTTTTCGCTCATAATTAATCCGATGTGGGATCTTTTGATCAACTTATGAGCTGTGAAGCCTTTTCTCCATATCTTCCTTTTTCAGTTTGGTGTGGTCTTGAGCGAGACTATGAATATCCAAGTTTTTTTTAATAAGATTTGAAATATTATAAGAAGTGAAAAAAAATAAAGGAAGTTCCGCCTCCATGTAGCTTTTTTTGTCTAGTTACCATGAGTTGGTAAATTACTGTATCGCCAACGTTTTTGTGCAATTTTTATAGTTTACATTTGTATTTTATATTCTAGCTCAACTACTATATTTTCACCTCGCGCTTGTTTCGCCTACTTTTGGACCAACCAGCAACCACCTTAGCCGCGACGCAGCCGCTCGCACCATTTGACTGCACAGATCCCCATTATCGCGCAATTTGTATGGCAAATTCGCGGTTGTCAGAACCAATTCGAGTAAATTATAGGCCGTTAACTCCTCAAAAAGTGCGCAGATCATAAATCAAAGATCAAAAGTAGCAATTTGCCCTGACATCAAACCTGTTTGGGTAAGTACATTTTACGAGCAATCATAACTGTGCGCTAATAACTCTTGCGCTATTTGTTCAGCAACACTTCCCTCTTTCCTCGTGCGTGAAGTCAGGATTTTCGGCGGGGGGGGGGGGGGGAGGAGGGGAGTTGGCGAGGTAGAAAAACCTACCCAGTCAGGGTCGTTTTACCTCTGTGCACTCTCCGCAAGTGCACTCAACTCGTCCTCTCCTTTCTACCTCCGCGCATATCCGGGTTTTCATCGGCACGTCACCGTTGCCGTTAATAGTAGCACGACCTTGTTCCGACGCGGCTATTTGTCGTTGGTAACCCCCCCCCCCCCCCGTGTACCGTCATGCAAATCATGACTAACAATGAGAGAATGGAACAGGTACAAAAGTGCTCGAATAAATTATCACCACAACCCAATCCGGACGAGTTGGACGAGTTCGTCTTAGCGCGAACGAGCTGGATTAACGGCATCTACTCGTCTAACAGACAACTCGTCCAGACTAGTCCAGGCCAGCTCTGGCCTCGAAGATCCAGAACCGTAATATCCGTAAGTATAGCGGGTGTGTGCGCCCCGGACGAAGATGTTTAGAGTTTATGGCGCTCTTACGCGAATCACAGCGCCCCAGATGCGCGCGAACGTTGCATGCGAAATTACGACAACAAGACATGCACTTGCGCGTTTTTTATGAGACAATGTGTGCCATCACATAACATTAGGCAAATGCACGAACACGAGCGTTTAGTTTCTTTCGGTTTTCTGATTTCCTGTTTCAAAGAGAAGTTTTGCCTACATTTCAGAGAAGACTTTCGCGGAAATCGGGCTTTTAGACTTTTTGAAAGAAAACGGTGGAATATCTACTCCACAAAAAATAATGTGAGAGTAAAGGGAAGTGGTGTGAGGGGATTTGCGTTAGTGATCCAAGGAACATTTACCATAACAGTGAGAAATTAATAAGGATGGGGAACTGAAAAAAGAGCGTGTGCGGGGGGGGGGGGGGGTAGGTGGAGGAGGGGGTGTCAGGGAAGAAGTAACGCAGGAGGAACATTTCGTCTTAGATTCTTCATACAAATACTAATGAATTTGTAGTTTTATTCGCGTATGCAGACGAACTGGCATAGTCTTCGCCAAAATTCATGAAAAGACCGCAGAATTTCTGCGGAACTTCCCGTGCCTTCCGCGGAAGCCCCGAGTGACCGAGTTGTTTATGAATTTTGGCTAGTTAATATTTTTTGCTTTGTTCGCTTTTTTCGCCTCTGATCCAATCACAATAGCCTATTTTTACATCTGATACAGAATGAGCTTGGAGTGTTTAGAGACAGTATAATACTGTGAAACTTTGTCCAAATACCAAAAAACGGAAAATTATTTGTTTCGCAGTTCTTTTGAATTTTGCAAGGCTTATATGGCAGGAAAATTACTATGAAAATAATGTGAGTTTGGAAATTTTCATAAAATTTGGTTATTGAGATCCATATCGACCACTCTCAGTACCCTTCCATTCTCTGATCACTTGTTATGAAGTAACTGTGATTAGACAATAACAATTTTATGCATTTTCAAAATTCACATTTTTGTGAGGGACGGCCCCAGCAACTTTCGCATTCTTTGGTTTTTTGCCTGTTTACAATGCCATTTCTTGGCGAAAGTGCAATTTTTTTTGCACGCAAAAGTTCCATTAGCATCAATCATCAGAGTACAAATAGTGTCGAACAAAAGCAATGATTCAAATGCAATTGCAATTTTTATGGGCTTTTTTAATGTGGCGTAAGGACTTTTTCTCTCATCAGCTTATTTGCGGGGGTGCAAAGAAATTTAGGGGGGGGGGGGGAGAAGTTGGGAGAATCTCATATCAGGAAATTTGCGAAATAATGACCACTACTATCCTTACATTTCTGAAGAGGCTGTACTGATTATATCTGCGTATTTTCTGAATGTTGCAAGATGTAATCAATAATTTAAGAAATTCCTGTTTCTCATTTTTCGAGTAATTTACGACTTTACAAATTGCCACTTGAAGATTTATCACAATGCAGAGCATTTCTAGACATTGAAGGCGTAATCATCGCCAATTTTATAGCTCACTTTACGGCTTTGCCGTAGCTGCAGTGAATAAGAGGAGAGGTGGAAGGCGAGGGGAGGGGGAGGGGGGGGGGGGGGGAGAAGGGTGCAAAAAATTTTCATGGCTTTTCAAAATTCTTCGAATACTATCAAGTCATCGTCCCTTTCCTTCCAAATCAGTGCATTCTATTGTTAACATAAGAATCTGATAAATAAGTCAGTAATAATAATAATAGAAATAATAATTATAATATCAATATTAGTGGCAACAATAATAAATAGTAATAATAAAATAAACTAAAATAATAATAATATTAACATTAATAACATAAATACTTTCAATAATAACATTGATATTAGGTCGTTCCGAAAGTAATGTCGCTTTTTTCGAATGAACGCCACTATTCATGGAATCAACATTTCCAAAAGATCTTAGGAGCATACGATGCAACATTTCGTCCTCTTTCTAATGGTTTTAATTTCACTGCATAATGTTTGATGAGCTCTCGAAAAACTACCAAATTCTGCGACTCATGCTTTTTGCCATGGTCAAGTTCGGCTATTTTTCTAAATTTTTGTACCTAATCTCCAAAAAAGTGCAAGTGGCAGGTAGATAGAGCAAGCACTATAGAACGCAGAGTAATTATTTCATTTCCTTAGCTTGCTTCTCAGAGTTCCTATAATCAATCTCTCAGTGCCATCAAATTCCATATTTAGTCAGGTCAAACCTCACAGAACAATAACCGGCAAGCGACCCGTGTATCATTCGATGCAGCTTTTCTCCTCTTTCTATCAGTCGTTTTTTTCTTCCCGATTCATCAAGTTTTCCGAGATAAAATCATCATAATTCAACTTTTCCAAGGCACCCCAAGGTGTAACTCGAAATTTTCGAAAGCTGCTAAACCGAAGCGGTGAATGCTCGTTTGGTTTGTAAAATTGTTGCCAAATCATAATCCATCTTTGTAAGTTTCAAAATCCGGAGACTTGTTGGCGTTTGACGCACTTGTGTCTGAGACGAGCCTGCTAAAATTCGGTGGTTTCATCAAAAAATCTGCACAAAAATTATGACGAGCTCTGGAAAGTAGAAAAAAGTTGTGCTGTTTCCTGTAGGGTTTGCTCCATCCATCCATTACTTGGACTCCTTCTGAGGTTTGTTATGAAATTTTAGAAAATTTGTGAAACTTGGCCATCTCAAAAAGCACAGGTCGCAGATTTTGACTCCTTTCCGGAAGCTCATTGAGTATGTTGCAAAAACTTCATAACCGTTAGAAAGAGAATGAAATGCTGCACCAAATGCTATCAGAATCTCTTACACATCTTTGTTCCACGAGATGTGGCATACGTTTGAAAAAAGCGACACTACTTTCGGAACGACCTAATATAATGAGGACAAAAATAATTTAGAAAATATTAGGTTGGCCCGAAAATTATGTCGGTTTTTTTCATAGCTTACTAAAACCCACAGAACACTAATACATGGACGATCTAGGTATTATTTGATTTAGAATTCAATCCTCTTTCTTACAGCTATATTTGCTCTCTGATCTACCCTGTCTTTGCCATGTTACCGCCATTGCTTTATGGCCAGTTCAGCAGTAACCCCCAAATCCTTTCTGAATTTAAAAATTTTTATCCCCATGTTTTAAAGAGCGGTAGCAACGGTTATGTAGAGCGAATCTTTGGCTACATTGTGCTTATTTTAGATCACATGGGCCGCGTTTATCAAGTCAGTTACAATTATTTATTTAAGAAAAACGGCGGCTTTTTGATCACGCCTACCACGTAAAGTTACCGAAAATTCCAAAAAGCTGATTTTTCAAAGCAAATCAAACTTGATTATGTTGCATAATTATTGTTTATCAGCAATCAAGTTTCATTCGCAGAAATTTCAAAAGCTTTCTTGTTTTTGCTGCAATTGCGTGTTTCATGACTTTGCCAAGAATCGAGCCCTCCGAAGAAATAATTTTTTGAAGCTAAAAACAGCAGGTTAGGAGAATCTAAAAATGTCATCTTGTAGTCGGAGAATTGTTCTATTTGAGCCACACTTAACCACCTTCGGAACTTTAGAATGAAATTTTTAAAAATTAGCCTAACTTTCAGCAGATAAAAATGACGGGTGAAGAACTGTAACAATTACCAAAAAAGCATACAGGATTGTGGCTGGAAAATGTAACCATAAGAAAGTGAATTAAAAGCTGCATCGAATGCATGTTGGAACTCATTCAGGTCTTAATTGTGCGTAGTTTTATAGCGGTTTGAAAAAACCGACAAAACTTTCGGGACAACCTAATAATAAATTAACTGGATTAAAAGTCTCATTCAATCTAAAAGTCTGCGCTTAAGAAATTCCCGTTTCAAACTTGCATGAAATTTCTCTAACATTCTCTTACGTTGTTGCCTCCATTGGATCTTTGGTCATGTCATTTTTTCTTCATTGCTTTTCCTATTGCTCCTGTTTCAGTTGGCAATGGAGAAGACGTAACTACAGAATGGAATTTCGAGCGAGCATCATTTCGACGAAGGGACCCACCAAATGGCCTAAATGGCATGACGAACTCCACTACTGCGATTCCGAATCCAATTCTCGATGCCACAATGAAGGTAGGATCCCCGTAATTTGTTTTTTTCCTATTGATTCTAAGTTTGTTTATATTCCTGTTGTTGTTTTTCCAGATCTAGTAGTACTATTTCTTATTTGCCATCACGAATCTTCCTTTCATCATACTTATTTGTTCGACTGATTAAAAAGCTTCGGCCTCGGAAGTAAATCTACTCGAATTCACCGAATCAAGCTAAACATCCATTAGGATTTATTAAGAAAATTTGACTGTTTTTGTCCTGCAGCATTTCTCCATGGAAAAAAATTTCAAAACGAAGCTGAGCATCCGAATTCTCCTTGATTTGCCCTTTCCAATGGTAGCAAATATTCGTACATCCATCAATTTGTAACATTCTCACAAACTTTCAAAAACGACAATTATTTTTTCAGCCTATCTTATATTTTGAAATCTGTTAGGCGAAAGCGTGGGCTAAAGTAGAATAATTGCTAATCAACGCTTATAATCTTTATGAAGGGACAAAATGTTTCCAGGAAGAAATGTTTGAGCGAACAACTTTTCTAAGCTGCGGAACAAAGAGATTTTTCTAAATCGAAGTGATTTGCAGGTCAGAAAAAGGCTTGGCTGGGTGGAAAGCCTGACCACAGGATGATGGTTTCAATCTTCCCAAATTTTGTTTTTTCCCACATTCTTAGAACGATTAGATCTTGAATAATTGTTTTTTTTTGCAGGAATCGCTCAAGTAGAAGTTATTCTAGTTCTAGCATATAGACTTTAGAACTAATAATCAACCAAAGATCTGATAGCTTCATGTTCTCTTTTCTGTCCATATGCTAGATCAGATTTACTTCATCTTTCCAAAAAATTCCCTTTCTTTATCTCCAAAGCAATTTACATCTTTCATCTTGGTCTACGTGAAGAAATTTCAGTTTTATCTGTATCGGCGATTTCTGGAAAAATCGTAATTTTTCGCACTCTTGGTTTAATATGCAATGTATGAACTTAGCGTATAAAATAATAACACTAGACTAGTTTAAGCTGTATGGGCGTCTCTCAAAATTTGCAAAAATCACTTTTCTTGAAGAGATTTGAATCATAAATTTTAGATCTTTACAAAGAGTAAATCATAAATCTGTTACTAACGATCAACAAATTTGTTGAGATTCTCCATTTTTTGGGGGGCTTATGTGGTAAATCGCTCTACTGCTCGAAGGTTTCTGTTTCGAACGCTACAAGGTAGCTTATCTTTTGGATCTAATTTTTATTTTGTCTTCAAAAATGAGGAACTCACTGAGCTCGAAAATATTGGTGCAAGCTTTCGGACGACAGTGCAATGCGGCCCCTACTTGGTAGTTGCGGCGTACTAATCGTTACAAAACCGTCAGGACCCCTTGACTTGGTTTACAATTTTTTCACGAGATCGGACTTTGGATTTGGAAAACCAGTTATAGCAGCTCGAAAAGCCATCCTTTGTTCAAATCTACATGTACAATCATTGAGAGGATTTTTGAGTCGGCGACGAAAAAACCGCAATGAAACCGTCGCCTGCTCGAAATTCGTCAAATAACAGAATTTTCCTGCACTCAGTTGTTTTTTTAGCGACAGTAGACCGGGATTATTAGACTATCGATCAAAAATGAGAAAAATCTAATCTATTGAAGAAGAAAATACGGAGTGCGACGGCTGTGATTTCCCCGTCGCGCGATTCAATGAAAGTAATTTTAGAACTTTTGAGGTTTTTCGAAATCTCGTATCAATATACGAGATTTCGAAAAACCTTAAAAAATCATAGTCCGATTCCGTGGAAATCATTTTGAACCAGGTTACGGAATTCCGACCTTTTCGTCAAGAATAATACGTCGCACCCCGTTCTTTTCCACCCGAGTTAGGGGTCTACTGTATCAGTCAAAGGGCCTGGCATGAGTCCGTATCTGGGCTTTTTGAAAACAAAGTCCTCCTTGATTTTCGCCAAAATCTACGAAGTCCCCTTTAACTCCAAACCATATCTGTGAAAAACTCCTAAAAAACGAAACGTCGGCAAAAAAAATTTTAAAAAAAACGTCGCAATTTTTTGCGCCTTTTTGGAACAAAAACGATATCCCCTTTGCTTTTTCGCCCAAAAACGAAGTCCAGCTCGTTTTCATACGATCTGTGCCGGACCCTGTCAGTCACCCTGAGCATTTTAGGGCAAAACAGCTTTAGTCTAAGCGTTTAGCTGGCCAATGATGCTCTCCTTGCTAAATAATTTACTTTCAAGATTCTACAGAGCAAGTAACGCGGAGTCATTTGAAGCTATAGGACATGGGCATGATCACACTTTCTTCCATCTACTTTGCAGAATCTAAGCGCTTTCTTTTTTTTTTCGAAGAATGTATTAACGAGTTTTAGTGTCTATCTCGTGCTCAAATCGCCGCTTTCAGAAAAGCGACTTTCTTTATAGTTGTGAAAAAATTCAGCATATTTCATGTAATCCTTGTGGATGGAATAATTTAACTTGCTTAGAAGGGATTTTTTCAGAAATCGAGCGAGCGTAAATTATAGAGAAATTCAATTTACAAAGAACATCAATCAGTTATGACCAATAATGAGTCTGTTTTTGCATGTTAGTTCAATAAGAAGAAATTATAGTTCTACATGTTTTAATCCTTTTGTCCCTTTCCTTAGACGGGAGTTTTGAGATCTAGACTTTTGAATTTTTGAATTCTTAGATCTAATATTTCGAATTCTGCAAACCCTTTCTGGAAAGCAAATAATTTAGCCCTATCCTCTTTTCATCCTTTCGCAATCTGGGATCCTTCAACTTTCACTTTCATTTTGAATCTTTTTCTCAGCATTCCCGTACAACTTTTCATTCCGATTTTTTGCCAAAGATGATTTTTTTTGTCTCGCGCTTGTCAAGAAATGCGAACTTTTTTATCGACTGCTTTAGTCTCGCTATTTCCGGAACCGTATGTTTTCCACTTATTATGTTCCGACCGCTAAGCAGCTGTCCTTTCAGTGTTTGTCGTGCAAATGCACAATATTTGTCGTTTTTTGAGCTTTCTTTGACTTTACGATTTTTTTGCATCAATCCGCTATCCATACATCCATTATGCAAGCAATCTGCATTTTTACGTACAAGCTCATCAAATCGCACTTATCGTGAATATCTTGTCGAAGCCATTTCCGGTGTCCGTAATCACGGCCGAACTCATTATTGTTAACGACTCGAGAGTGTAGTAGCTACTAGCTGCTGTTGTTCATTCACGGCACTTTTACACTGTGAAAGGACCGTCACCCCTGCTCGGCGTCCGGCCCGACCTCGAAGGGGTAAACAAAATTGAAGCGCGACCCTCTCAGAGCGCGCGAGCCCCGCGGGGAAGGGGTGACACGATTGTGGGACCCGATCGACTCGATTCCCCACTCTAATCCACTAGATCATCGCTCTTACCGTTGATGTCGAGTGCTTGCACTTGCTGAAGAATGGGAGACTCTTGCAAAAATCTGGTCAGCCATAAGGGAAGGGAAAGCGGACAGAGGGGAAGGAAAGGGAAGGGGAGGAGAGAGACAAATACTTTTCAGCCAGTTTCATATAATTTAGGCGAAAAAATAAATGCAGTACTTGTCTGGTCGCTTGTCAATGATTTGCAGAGCAAAACTCGAGCAAGACACCAGCAAAATTTTGGATGAATAGCGGCATGAATTACATCGATACTTTTCTAACGAATACCTAGCAAACAACGGCCGAATGAGAGCGCTGTGAGAGGGGGGGGGTTGAAAAAGGGATATGAGTGAAAATTAAGCATCTTTGGTTTTCTTTTGAATCCGCTCTATCGGGACTTGGACCCAAAAGTGATTGACATGACCTTGCTGGTGGTTCACTTCCAAAATCTCACCGATAAGCGTATAGTCCTTGAAAAAGTTCAACTTGCACGGCTGAAAGGAACAAGGAACTTTTAGGGAAGACTTTTTGAAAAATAGGCCTCGTCTTTATCAAAAACGAATGTGGTCCCTTTTTGCATTGCTTAGTAAATGTTGTTTTCAAGTCTCCCGGAGTTTGTTTTTTTCTCAAGCTAGAGAAAGTACAAATTTCTATCTAGGTTATGTAGAGATTTTCTTAACATATTTTTTCTTGGAAAAATCTTATTTAGTTTCTCCGCTGAGATGCAAAATTCTTGCTCTAATTTTGGTAAGTAACAGAGATCCTTTTTCTGCTCCCAAATTTCACCGTTTTCTTTTCGATTAAGATCTACTTTACTTTATATAGCTCTGCAGCTCGAAATTCCAAAGAAACAATCTTCATTGAATATGAATATGAAACTATCATTTACTGTTTTGGAAGAAATCGTCATGTTGACCATGTACGTAAAATCTTGCTCGAGTTCAAACGGCATTGGTGACTTACTTAAGAATAGTTAGTACATAATCAACAACAAACTCCCCCAGAAACTCGGGAAGTCGCCTTTGATCCTTAACCCTAAGCGTAAAAACCTCAAAAAACGAAATGTCAACTAAAACGTAGTTTTTTTCTGCCACAAAAACAAGTCCCCTTTGCGTTTTGTCCCAAAAACGACATCCAGCTTGCTTATAAAATCTTAAACCCTCTGTGCCGATTGCAATTTTCATAACTCATTCAAAACAATGTCAATCTTCGAAATTTTCCCCCATCAGAGTCAAAGACCTTTGGTGCTTTAATCCGAACTCCATTAATATGAAAAGTTCTGAATGTTTCTTTATATTGCTTTTACCCCAAAGTGGCGCAATTGGGCATAATCTGAAAACTTAACCCCACTTTCATTCTGAAACACCCAGACTGCATCAATCTTTGTGGGATATGGTAGGTCTTTATCCTTTCAAAGCGCATGGCATTCTTTAGATGCCCTGCATTAGTCATCCTTGCCGTGCATCTTACCCATTTATTTATTCCACCTGAACTGATGACGCAGTCAAAATGCAAATCATCATCGTTGATCATTCCTTTCATCGCAGAAACTGGATCGAACTAGTCTTTGGACTATTGCTTAGTATTGCAAAATTTGTCTAGAAATAATGAGTTTGCTAAAA